TTCTTAATCTGAACCAAAGAGTCCAAATCTGGCAAATCGTTTTGAGAAACAGATTTTTGAAAAGAAGTGCCAAACATAGACTGCTTTTCCAGATACAGAGTCACCACCTAAATATTTTTTATGGGGAATTTAGGAAACCCTGACTCGGTGCCGAAGGCCACATGTCCGTCATCACCAGAGTTGCCTCGGCTCGGGAGCTAGGGTACGATTGGGGAAGGTCAGCTATGAGCACCCCCTCTCGCCCGATCCGAAGATCGGCCTCTACTAACCATGATATCCGTTTTTGAAAACGTTATGTGTTCTTAAACCAATTATTAGCCTAGCGTTACTATGTTATGCGCGCAGCAAACAAGTATAGACTAGATTGCCTAATTTGGAAATAAGCATTGCATATCCGTTTGTTTTAGAAAACACTTTGGAATTTGCTACTCGCAAGTAGGCTAAAATACGAATTCCAACGAGTTTCTCCAACTCAAACAATCTAACCTTCACCCACAGGCATTCAAACAATTTATCAGTTAAGCATTTAGCCGCATGGCAAGCATACTGTCATGGCAACACTCACACGCATGCGGGATGCTAAAACATAAATACATACATCGTACTCCGTGCCAAAATAATAAACTAGTTAGCAAACATGCATGTCCTAGTTCATGTTAGGAATGGCTAATGCATCGCATGCAAAAATGCAATCTAGACAGGCTTGGCTAACCTAAACATGGCATGTGAAAATGCACAACCAACATGTATTCAGTTTGGAATTTGAAATACAGATGCAATTAGCATGATGCGCCGAGCCCGGTGCATGTAAAACAGATGGATGAATGCACGCATGCATAGCATAAGGTATGCTAAATTAAACATGTCCTAATACTAACCATCATAAGCTGGTAAATAAAAGGGAAGAAAGACGTAGGGTTGGAAGACATACACACACTCACGCACACTTATTACACAATTGCCCTCACTCGGAGGGTCCGAATAAATATTATAGTACGACTAATAAACAAATAAATTATTACAGAATTTCTAATTAATTATCAGAATAAATGCAAGAAGAGAAGTGGCCACGGCCCCTGCCTCGGGATGCGCGAATGATGCATGCTCGAACCCGTCTCGCCCGGAAAGTCCGCACCATACCATTGCTGCCTCTGTTTTTACTGCCTTGCTTCTCTGAAAAATGCCAAAGTTTCGGGGCAGGTCCCTTGCACACTGCAGAATATCATCGGCTGAAGGAAATGCCCACCGGCAATACATAATTTCCACCGGCAGTTAATGAAGCCCTCGGCCCATGAAGGATTGCCGGCCGGCAATGAATGATGCCGACCGGCATAAACTTCTTGCAGAAGACAGTTTTGACAGCAACAGAGGGCAAGCAGTGTATGGCATGGAATTTTTAGGCAAATGTATGCATGGACACACTCCCTATCATGTAATGGACTCAAGGGAGCATGGCCCTCGACCCTCGGGCCACCAATCACGCATTTCGATGCATGATGGCCAAAGAGTCAAGTATGCATTTCAATGTCAAATGCAATGCACACAAAACATACAAGGGACCCAACCTCAATCATGATTGGTCAAGAGGCGAGGCAATGCACAACAATGCACATGCGACCTAAGCATGCAAGCAAACATACAAACATGCAATACAACTACATGGCACACACAATGCTAACAACATAACATGCACAACGCATTGAAACATGGCATACACAATGCAAGAATGGGCTTACACCAACATGAGAGAGCCTCAGCCACACTCACATAGGAGGCCATCAGATGAAAACAAGACAACTCGAAATGCGTGCACGCGTGCACGCAAACCGAGCACCGACCCTTAGGCACCAAAATGCCACTCTAATGAGATATGGCAAAGACATGGAATATGATATGCGAACATGCAAAAATCAGGAGCAAAATGAGGGGCAAAACAGCCCCGAAACGAGGCGAAATGACACCCGATGCATGGAATTTCTCCCGAAATGCAAAACTAGGTACATGAAATGGCTTACAGCTATACAAAGCATGCATAATTGGTACATGGAATGAAAAGACAGAAGTAAGGAAGCCCCAAAATAAGCATTTTTACAGTTCAAAGCATGGCCAAACAGTAAGCACAAGTGGGACTAAATTATCATACAAAAATGGCTCCGCAAGGGAGGCAATGAAGCAAGTGGTAGATGCAAAGCCCAAACGGAAAAAGACTCTTCTACAATACTGAAGAGGGACCAAAAATATGACTACTTACAGTTGATGGCCAAGCCTAAATCAGTACACAAGTATGCTCAAAATGCCATGCAAGATAGGGCCCAAAAGAGGTCAAAACACAAAGTATACAAAACATTCATCAAACAGCCAAAGTCCCTCAATGAAACATGAATATGGGGTCAAAATAAGACTGTTTTCAGTTCTATAAAATGACCAAAAACAGAAGCATAATAGGCTAATAGATCATGCAAAAATGGGGACCAAAGAGGGATATAATGACAAGTGGCACGTGGAGGTTCCAAATAGTGATGAGCCCTTCTTCAATGATGAATAGGGGCTCAAAATAAGCCTATCTACAGTTTTCACCATGCTCCAAAACAGATCACACACAGGCCAAAAATACTATGCAAGATTATGGCATACAAGAGGGATAAAGAAGGATGTGCAAGATGGGGACCTCAAATGAAAAAATTCCCTTAATGAAACATGAAGTAGAGTTCAAATAAAGGGTACTTTCAGTTTTGGTCGGATCTCAAAACAGCAAGCAAAAGGGGCCAAGAAAACTTGCAAAAATGAGCTAGAAAGAGGGAGAAATCAACTCACCCTTGAAGACCAATCCTTTGCTACCTCTTGGACCAAGAAAAGCTGCCTCCTAGCCTCTGAGAAGGCCCTCCAAGCTGCTGGAATGGAGTGGTGGTGTGGTGCTATAGGGTGTAGTGCAAATAGGCCAAGAACAAGGGTCTTTGAACACTCTAACACACCCAAATGTAGAGAGAGAGGGAGATATAGAGAGAGAGGGTGATATATATGTTATATGTATGTATTAGGTCTGATTTTGCTGAACCTAAACAATGGAGAAGGAGGCTTTCTTATATAGGCAAAGGGAAAGACTTGAAGCTTATAAGACAAGCTAGAAAGAAATGGTCAAGGAGGGCAAAGGGGGCAAGGCTTATAGAAGAAGCTAAGACAGCTGGCCAAGCTTCTTGAGGAAGCCAAGACAAGGGGTCAAATCTTCCCCAAGAAGCCTTGAGCAAAGGGTGCAAAAAGAGGGGTCAAAGGTGGTGAAAAGGGTGCAAAACAGCCACACACGTGCATGGGGAGCAGAGTCTGTGCATTCCAGCTGGCACAGCTGGCATCCATTCAATCTGTAGAATTCTCCGGAAGGTCATCGGCTAGCAAACTTGGTCGGTCAGCCATCTTTTCTGGCCGGTCGGCAATCTATTTGGTCGGTCGGCCATTTGTTTTGGCCGGTTGGCAGGAAAAATCTGCTCTGCAGGTCCAACTTCAAACGGACATAACTTCTTCATATGAACTCCTTTTTAGGTCATTCTTGTGTCAAAATTGAAGCCCCGGAAGTAAGATTTCCAATGGCACAAGCCTTGCATCAAAATTCCAACTGTGAAAAAAGTTATGCTTGTTTTAGTGAAGGATGCTCAGTTTCAGTCCAACCGGGATGATGCCCAACCTCAACCAATCATATCTCCGCCCTCCGGTCTCGGATTTAAGAGATTCTTGAATGAAAAATGAATCCCCGGAATTCTTCTTTCCAACGGTGGGGGCCTCATAGCTTAACTCAAAGTGTATAGACAAAGAAGCTTGATTTAGCGAGGACTGCTCATCCCTCTCTTAGCAATTCTTGCCTATCTTCTTCTCCAACTTGGCTTCTCCCCTCTTCTCCTCTTTTCTTCAACTTCAAACCCCTAAGCAAGGTGTTTTGAAAGATTTTTCAAAGATTTCATCTCTCTTTCATTCATTTCCACTTTGTCCTTGCTCGGTTTATCGAAAAGCGTATTTTTTGACAAAATGTGAGCCTTGAAACATCGTAGAAACTTTATTTCAAAAATGTTTTGAAAGAGAGGGTTTTAAGGTCTAAAAACCATTCAAAATAGATTTGGTCCAAAATGGGGTGTGAGGTTGGGATTTGACCCTCTCATTGCCGAAGAAATTGAACCTTTGCCCTGCACACCTTTCATCATCGAGCAAACCATCAGTAGCGCCCAAGTCTTAAGGGCGGTCAAAAATGGGGTGTCTACACACACATCCCTTGCTTCACATTTGGGCGTTTTGGCACGAGATGGGAGTCTTGCGCCACTCACTTTTGCCACTTGGCATTATGTTCCAAAACAAAACAAAGATAACATATGGAGGGAGATAAAGGTATATATGGATATTTAATATGAAATAAGTTACAATTGTATTCCATATGAAATGCATATTACAAGTGTAGTTGACATTGCATATTACAAGGGTATATAATTGTAATGCAGGCTCATACGGATGCAGATGAATCCATGAAGAGAACAATAATGGCTTCATTTGGAAAGAAATGGAGAGATTGGAAAGTCAAGTGAAAACAATGGGATACAAACCCTTCAAGAATGATGCAGAACGGTTGGCTCATCGACCAGATAGAGTACATGAGGATCAGTGGCGGGCTTTGGTCTACTATTGGGGCACTAAGAGTGCATCGATAAAATTTTACTTATGTGAAAAAATATTTATATATGATAATTTTTTATAACATCTTAAATAAATTTCATATTTGACAGAAATCAAGCAAGAAGAATAGAAAAATCCGGAAGAAGAAAACATTACATCATAGAACAGGCCGAAAGCCTTTCCCAGTAGTTCGACTGGAGGTATATATGTGATCAGTGTATTTAGGATAGTTTTATCTTATGTATTGCAGATTCTTCTTCATTTTATGTAGTGAAGAAATATGAAATAATGCATTAAAAACTAAGACATTCAAAGTATTAAATGGAAACTTTGGTTCTTATTTATCTTAAGATTTTGGTTGTCTTTCATTTATAGGAGACAAAAAAGAACAATGGGGTTCCTGCTAGTCGGTCACAGGTGTGGATGGCCGCATACATTAAAGATGGGACGTCAAATAGTGATTCAGTTAATGAGGTTATGGTATGTGATACTACTTTATCTTTGGACTTTTAATATGATTTATATTTATATTAGAGGCTAATTATTGAATTCAAACTTGCAGACTCAAATGAATGAGTTAACAAAGCACATGAAGGGATCTTCTACTGACCCTGCAGCATTACAGGAGCAAATCTTCACACAAGTTATGGGCCCAGAGCGACCTGGCCATGTTTGGACGTTTGGATTGGGACCGTCACCCACTGATGTTTTTGGAGGTGGATATAGGCGATCACAAGAGCAGAGTCGTCTCTTCCAAACTCAAGTTCAGGAACAAGTTCAAGAGCAACTTCAACAGTATCAAATGCAGTTCGAGTCGAAGATGAATGAAGTAATGGAGAAACAAATTCAGGCTATACGCACAGATTTTCAGTCATGAATTTAGTTTTTGGAATCTTAATTGCAAACTGCAGGCGTGCCCGTTGATCTAGTTGTTGCACCATCAAACCCATTACATAGGCAGCAGGTATTTTAATTATTTTTGCTAGTTATTACTTTAAATTGCCTAGAGCTAATATATAACTTAAGCATCTTATTGAATGATAGGTTGTGGATTATCCCACTGTTCGGCCAATGTCACATCAACAACAATCTCATGCATTTTCATCCCAATAGGTGAGCAATCATTTAATCAAAAGCTTTTTTGACAAATAACACATGTTATTAAGTACAATACTTGCTTTTATTAAATATAGGTTCACCTTTCAAGGAAAGAGAAGAAGAATAAGAAGAAGAAGAAGAACTAACAAGGTAAAAAAACTAATTGCCTTTTCTGGACTAACCCCCAAAACTATTAGACTACAATGGCAATAATTATTGCCTTTTCTGAACTAATCATATTAAGTGTGAACAAGCTCATGCTTACAGTTCCTAAAATCATATTAAATGGGCAACTGAATATTTTTGCTCTTCATTTTGTATGATGACCAGATATAGGGCAGTTACTAGTGCATATTACAGAGGTGCTGTTGGGGCTATGTTGGTTGAATTGAATGATTGTGATACTTAATTTCCCTCCCATCAAATTGAGTTTCCCTTTTCCTCTCATTTGACCTATGTTTGTGCTTGTTTCCTGTAGAGTAAAGCAAGACCTGTTTTAATAGCAATCAATCCCTTCAAAGATGTCCACTGTTTTGGAAATGATTTTATCACAGAAGCTATCAGTTTTGGCATAATGAGAAATCAAATATAAGTTTTCCCTAAATAAAATTGAATCCCTTGACTCTGTATAAAGGCTCAACAGAAGTTTGAAAGCTCGAACTCTATGATGTTTTGGGTACTAATGAAAAAATAACATGAGAATGAATGGATAATGCTTGCTTAGTTTTACACTTAGAAAGGGAACATATCATGTATAAGATTGTTGAATTTGAAACTGCATATCAATACCTAATATTTAATTGCCTGTTGTTAACTAGTGATTTTAAATTTCACACAATTTTGCATCATATGAAATTTTTATACTTCAAAAATCTTAGAATGAGATCATATTGTGGAGATCAGTGGATTTAAATTATAATTTGCTCATGTATCAGCAAATGTTGATTTGTGTGACATTTTACTATGGTTCTGGTAAAAAGGAAGTTGATTCACTATCTTTTGTTAATTTTTCTTCTCCAGTTTTACCAAACAACTAGCAGCATGTTGGATTGCAGGGATTGTTATGAACTTGTAGGTAATCAATTGCATGTTGCAACACTTGCTTTTATTTATTTATTCATAAGACAGAGAAGAAAAAATTCTACTTGCATTGAGTAATGTTATTGGTAAACCTTTGTACCTTGATGAGTATGCTGAAGTTCATAATAGGCTTATTTTTGCAAAATTGCATTGATTTTTTTTTTCTTTTTTTCCAATTTGTGTTTATTTTGGTGAATCTGATTGTAGTTTATGTTCTAATGCAGGCATGTAGACCAGTGATGACTACAACTTCTATGCTAAAACATGTGCTTTTGGATATATGTTAGTTTGTGGTCAATGTTAAAACATGATTTTTGGATTTGGATGTGTTATTTTGTAGGCAATGGTGATTGGAAATTAATTGAATGAGAAACTGAATTAATGCTTCATTTGTTATTTGAATGAGAGTTATTATTTTATATGTCAGTTTTATTACAGGTATTTGAATGGGAGTTAATATTTTGTATGTTGGTTTTATTACAGGTATTTGAATGGGAGTTAATATTTTGTATGTTGGTTTTATTACAGGTATTTTTTTATTAATTGAATGAGAAACCAAATTCAATATTTTATTATAGGTATTTTTTTTAATTTAATCAAATAAAACTAGCACAATTTTAAAAAAAAATGGATATGACGGCGTTTCTATAAACGCCTCCTAAACCCTAAACATTAACGGTTATATTTTTCAAACAGATATGACGGCGTTTTCAAAACGTCGCTAAAATATCGTTGGTGACGTCACTGTGTTTATATGAGGACATTTTGCGGCATTTTTTAAAACGCCTCCTATACTAATATCACGACGTTTTTAAAACGTCACAAAGCTACAGCGACGGCCGTATATTCGACGTTTGATACTAAACGTCACAAAATAAATTAGCAGCATTTTTGATAGATATAGCGGCGTTTTTTAAACACCACTAAAAGTCCAATTTCCAGCAGTGTCTTAGGCCCACTATATATGCTTCCAAATGCAGACTAATTTATTAATAAATCTTGCAAAATTGCTCTTTGGAATTCTACACTTGCCTTTTTCTAAGGCTATTTGCAATTTTCTAGCTATAAATCACTATGGACTGTCCAGATGCAATGGATAAAAGAAAATTTGATCTGTTTAACTAATTTTTTAATTCAAAAATATATGCTAAACTGCTATTTATTTCAGCTCTTATTTCTGCAATTAAAAGTATGCGTAGGATTGAAACAAGCATAACTTAACATTTTAAGGCTCGATACATTAACTACTAAATAGATAGAGCCTTTCAGTAAATTAATCAAACTTTTGGGATGATAAGTTATTTATATTATAGACTTAGGGACTAAATTGATTTGAAATTGAAACTTGAGGGACTTAATTGACACAATTAGAACTATAGGGACTAAAATGAAATAGATGTCAAATTTGAAGGATTATGACTATAATTCACCCTAGTGTATAATTCACGAGACTGCTATTTTAAGGAATTTTATTAATAAATATAATATATATATATTATCACATAACTAGTGAAATAATTTGGGGTCGTGCCATATACATTGTAAGAAGACTTGGGGTCAACATTTTACATATATTATAAAAGTAAAACTTGCCTTTCTTTTCTCGTAAGAATTGGAGGAATCCAAATACATTGATGCTGACGATTCAAATCTGTTTGATTTTTTTTCCAATATCTCATATCTAGCCTCGAACCACAATTTGCAAATGTATAATTGGGGTGTTCAAATCATCTACGAGATATTAAAAAAAAAACTAATTAGATTTAAAAATCAATTTAATTTTCTTCAACATCTCATCCCCGACTTTGAACTATCTTCCAAATTGCAAATCTGAATGTCAAATCCAATTCTTCTCCAACTAGAACAGCAAGTAACAGACGAAGGTACATAACTACCATTTCAAAACATAAATACAATTCAAAGATTTTAAAGTCATACTCCAGTATGATGTATGCCAATAATACTACTTAAAACTACAAAAATATGGCTAGAGAAAGAGTCCTCCTAGTATTATTTCCCTTCGTGTATGTTAATTATAATTTAACTTTCCGATGGAAGGTTGCACGTAGCACTCGATGGAGTCGGCAAAGAGCCCGCAGTGTGAACCTGGACAGCGGGTGTCAGGTAGTCTCCTATCTCAGCACCCATGCTTGCGTAGAACCCTTGCATTGTATCCTGAGATGTCTTCATGTCAGTGAACATACCTTCCAATTTTGAAGTAAACTGATACCCACATTCCGTTTTGAGCTTAACTATCAAACTCATCTCTGCATTGTCAGAAATGGTTTTCAAAGATTGAAGCCTCTTTGCCAAATGTTGCCTGTAATGCTTTTCAAACAGGTCCTCTTGGAGGTAAAGCAAAAGCTTCATCACCTCGTCCAGTACAATCTCAAGGTCCTCCTCACTGACCCTTTCCAGTCCCTTCCGGAGCTTATCATCCACAAGCAAAGATATGAACTCCAGAGACTGGGGATTCAAATTGATAAAATATTGAAATGAGGAATTCAAAGCATTCTGGAATGTCTTGTGTGGGGGCATATTTTGAGAATGACAACATGTGGTCAAGCTGACACCGAAGTGTCAGCCGAAGTGTCACGTGTTTTGGTCATGGTGCCGAGGTGATTTTGGCTAGGCTGAGATTATCTGTGGAAATATCGGAATTCGAGATGAACAGATGAGGGACAAGAGTCCTAGAATGGGGGAGGACCTCAGTCTGAATAAAGATAAGGCTCTTAGGGAGTTTATCTCTATCTGGCTGGGAGTCCAAGATGAGTATTGGGCCAGAGTCCATTGAAGCTAAGTTTCTATAGGGATCAGGTTAGTGCTGGCTATAAAAGTAAGGCACCATCGTGGGTCTAAGGTACGCTTTTTGTATTCTGGTTTGTGGGTTGAGCACTATTTGCTGTCTTTGAGAGATAAACTGAGTACTGACTTGATCGTCGGAGTGTCCTTGGGTGGACGAACCACCACCAGAGTCTTATCTTTCTATGACAGGTTGTTCAGGCATACTCTATTTTGCTTGTGCTCTCTAGTTGTGTTCCTGTTTGGTAGCGTGGTCAGAAATTAGCACTCACAATTTGGCGCCGTCTGTGGGAATCGAAAGAGAATAGATGGCCAACGACGGGCAGAAAAAGAAGATCGGGGACGACATCCTAAGTGGGAGTGGTAAATAGACTGAATCTAACGTAGAGGAGGATAAGTGTAATGAAGAACCCCGAGAGCAGAATCTCAGAGAAAAGAATGTCGTCCAAGAGGGAGACGTTCCCAAGAAGGCAGGTTGAGGCGAGTATCACAACGAGAGCGACCTCCAAGTATGGAAAGACAAATGCTTGAGGAGGGACGGTGAGATGAAAGAGATGGAAAACAAATTGGCAGACCTCCAATCGGTTGTCAATTTCATGATGCAGAACAGCGTCATGTAGCCATCGTTCCTGTTGGAGGACACGACGATTCCAGCGACCAAGAACGATGCCCAGAAAGGGGGGCAGAAAGCAATCCCCACAATCCCACAGCATAACAGGGCAAGGGAGCATTCACATCGGCCTTCACGAGAGGTCGGGCGAGGAGAATTAATGAGAGGGGAGTCTCAGAGGACCCATCGTGCCAAAGAAACCTACGTTAAAGATCATCGGCACATTCAAGGGAATGAGCTTTGTTTTGACACGATGAATGAAGGGAGGTCCAAGAGGACTCATAACG